TTTCAACAAGATTTGTTTACTAGAGTAAGGAAGTTTAATAATACTCCATGCACAACATGACAGAAGAAACTACTGTTAGGAATCAGATTTCCTGATCTCCTTTATGTCTTTATCCCTAATATTAATTAAGCCTATAATTTACACAGTTATTAGCACTTTTAATTCCTTGTACAAGGCACATTTGCTGTGAGAAATCTCCTCAGCTTTATCTGTTAGTCTCAACATTTATGTCTAATCTCCACCATCGCATCACACACCTGCTGATGTATTTGTTTGTAATCTTTCTCTGGCCAAATTATATTCCCGTTTTATCTTTTCAGCTCTCTTGTGAACTCATCAAAGAAGTTGCCTTCTACTTTAAGCTTCTCAATTATATATCAAAGGGTTTTCCTTAAGTTTTTTGTCCAACTTAAAAAAATAACTAAATTTTAGAACCCATGATATAAATCTTGTTGCCTACTTAAGTTGAAGTATTGCTGATGCAAGTGTGAAGTTCGTGTAGTAAAATTCTTTTTGAGGACATTTAAGATAATTTTTCTTTTTTTTCAATAAAAATAAGTTTTATTGATTTTACAGAGAGGAAGGGAGAGAGATAGAGGGTTAGAAACATAGATCAGCTGCCTCCTGCACGCCTCCTACTGGGGATGTGCCCGCAATCAAGGTACATACCCTTGACCGGAATTGAACCTGGGACTCTTCAGTCTGCAGGCCGAGGCTCTATCCACTGAGCCAAACCAGTTGGGGCAATAATTTTTCGTTTTACTACAAAATAAGTAAGCCATTTAACACAGGGTACACACATGAAAAAGATCAGTGAGAAAAAGTATCGGTAACATTTTTTTACTATTATTATTATTATTTTAAATTTATAGTTGAAAGTATTACAGATATCCCCTTTGTTTTTTTTTTTGTTTTTCCCATTGACCCCCTCCACCCCACACCTGCCCCTCCCAGGCCTTCACCACAGGATTGTCTGTCCTAGGGCTATGCATATATGCATATGAGTTCCCTGCTAATCACTCCCCACCCTCGCACCCCACCTTCCCTCTGAAAGATAACATTTTGATTTATGTTCCAGTATCACTTGATGTGTCTGCATTTGTGTCTACTACTGTATTTGCCTAGAAAACTTTATTAAAGCAAGAGTTGATGAATTGGGTGAGGTGTTTAAATGCTTTAATAGTAGGAAAAAATAACTAACTTGAGATTGTTTTTACCTCACTACTACATAGCCGGTATGCAAATAATTAGCAAAAATATGGAAATCAGGACACAATATTTTCAAATTAGTTTTTATAATGGCACTGCAGTAACCATCCCAACATAATAAAGAGTTGACTAAAATCCAGAATATGGCATCTACAAGTAATACGTACTTCTTTACAAACTCTACTTTGATTCTGTAAACAGTAATTATGTAGGAAGGCAAATGTGGGAAGGTGTATTAGACTCCTTCTAATTCCAGGTTCTCGTTCTTTAGTAATTGCTTTTATAATCTCCTGCATTTCAAATTCCTTCCAGAGTAAATTGATGTAGATAATTTTCACGCTCAAGCTAGATGTATGAAATGGACGCATTGAAGTAGCACTAAAACTCTTTACACATATTGTAAAAGTGCAATATAAAATTAATCACTAAGAAACCAAATGCAGGTTCTGACCAAGATTGTTTTTAATTATTGGAAAATATTTAGATATTCTGAGATATTCTAGAACTTAGAGTAATACTATTTGATAAGTAATGCTTAAAGTCCCACTTTTAAGAAAATTTTGCAAAAGGAATCTTTACGCACTGAAAGAAGTATAATACTCATAACAATGTATTGGTGCCACCCCCCTCCAAAAAAAGGAGTCTTTGCATAGAGAGTAGGAAGAAAATTTCAAATATAACAGACCTTGGATGACTGGCTTTTTAAAGTAGGCATTTTGTTCTATATTCCCAAGGTCTTGAGGCAGACCTAGTACATAGTAGGCACTCAATAAATATTTGTTGATTATTGAATGAACTCCTGTCTGAAACAACCCCTGGCATGCATCCTGAGGGATTCTTTTGATTGGTCTCTTAGTATTTTAGGGGGTGGTAACATATTACAGATGTATAAAAAACTATATTTTGAAGGGAAATTATTGGGATACAGACCAGAATGGTCATAAAAACACAGTACATGGATTCAGATGATATGAGTTAAGTTGTGATTCTGTCCACTAATTAGCTGTGTGACCTTGGCCTGCTTTCTCAACCTTCTCTAAGCCACAATGATCACATTTGTAAAAGAATTCCTTTCCCAGTATGGTCTTATGCAAATGATATGATAGATATTAAAACACGCTGTGAACTGAAAAGTAGTGAACAAATATTATTGAGCATAATTTGTACAAGAGGTCTGAAATCTATTTCCAATTTTATCATATATTTCCTATGTGTATCTCTTCATTTTTTATTGTATTGTCAAATTTCCTCATCTTTAAATTAAAAATCAAAATACTTTACACATTGGGAAAATTTTCTCCCTCCCCCAAACATCCTGATGGTTACCTTGAATTGGCCTGTCGTATCAAATATATTCCTGAAAAATTACTTTTGTAATATTTTCCTTCCTACACCTCTATTATGTATGGTGCTATTTATGTTGTTAATAAGAGTTTCGACATTAAGAAATTTGATCACAGAAACAGATTTTCCCCCCTGTTCAATCTTTTTCAACTTTCTTCCATTACAATGCATTTCACAGGCCTCTATGAGTATGGATTATAACATTAACTAATAAGAGTTAAGGAAATTATTCATAAAAGCATAAAAGGAGATGAGAGAGACAATGATAAAGTCATGTGTATGTAAAGAATCTTAAGACTACTTCCCTGCAGGGCTATGCTGTATTGTGTCCACGGTATACACATCCATTCTAATAGGAAAAGGAGGCTAATTCCTGGAAGTCTCTAGAAAGGTGTGTGCATGGCTAAGGTATATCTTAGGAAGGAGTTATGAAGGCAAGATCAAAGCCTGACAATTCTAGACTATCCAGAAGAAAAATCTGTGAACAACTCAAAATAATGAGCATGAAATATGGGGTCATGCATAATACCAAGAAGGTTAACTCAATGCTCATGGTAGAGGATAGACAAGGACATAAAAATCATGATTAAGAGATCATAGCTCAGCTTCTCTACATGGAGACACTAGGGGAAGATAGGAAGAACTGCATCTGTTCGGTGTTTCTGAGAAAACTGTCAAGTCTACATGAAAACAAATCTGTTGCTTTGCAACTATGCTAAAGCTGAGCACCCAGAGAGGTATGCAAAATGGGGGGAACTCTCTCATTGGCCAGGGAATATACCTGTTTTCAGTCCCTTCTCTCTCACGTCTCATAGCCAGTGTTATCACGTGCTCAATGGAGACCTTTATTAGAGTACAAAATGGAACACAAGACATCTGTTCTGGCATGAATTCTCCTAAGTGCATAGATGCTTCACATAGAAAATATAATGAATAGTCAATTTAGCAATGTGCCTCTGCTGTTACTGTTTCTATTTGCTTTTTAAAGTTTATTTATTAAGATACCATAATCATTGCACATCGCAAGATCTGGCTTGGGGAAATAGATTTTTATTAACTCTATAACATTTTCATTAGGAAAAACAGATATATCTGGAAAGTGTTGAAGAGGAACAGAATACATGACCTCTATATATACCACTTTGGAATTTGGATTATTTTGAGCTGAAGACAATCAAGACCCAGCAGGCTGGAGAAAAAATTTTACTTCTCCCTTAACTACCTAAAAGAATGTAGATAGGGGCCTGGTTCAGAAAGAGAGCTATTACCAGAGATAACTTTTATCTGAACAACCCGTCTGTTAGCCAGGCAAACATCTAATTTCCAAACATCTGCTCTTCTTCTTGGCCTGAGAACTACCTTTCTCCCCTTTGAAGCCCTAGGGCCCTATTCCATTACTTTTCTCAGGCAAATAAGCCTCAACTGCCTAACTTGACCTTGTGTCTCACATTTTATTGGGGTTACCTTACATAAGAAATTAAATTTGTTTTCCCCCTGTTAATCTGTCTTATGTCAATTTACTTGTTAGACCAGCCAAAGAACCGAGAAGAATAGGAGGAAATTTTCCTCCTTAGTAGTGTCTTTAGTTGTTAATAACCAGATGCTTTTTTTTAACCTACGGAGTTACAGAACACATTTGGCTTAATATATTAAAAATAATAAATGGCAAATGAGTACAAGAAATTGGAGAGCCTTAATAGAGAGGCTCCTTGACTTTTTCAGTTTGTACTTTCAGCAGCCAGTTACTTAACAGGTATAATAAATGCTTAATAAATACTTGTTGAATAATATGTATAACCTGTGTATCTGGACAGTGAAACATAAATATAGTATAAAATCATTTGCATTACACGATGCATGAATATATACACATACAACTACCTATCCATATGCGTGCATGCACACACACGTATATATATTTCTCACCTGAGGATATGTTTTTATTTTTATTTTATTTATTTTTAAATATATATTTTATTGATTTCAGAGAGAAGAAAGAGGGAGAGAGAGAGATAGAAACATCAATGATGAGAATCATTGGCTGCCTCCTGCACACCTCCTACTAGGGATTGAGCCTGCAACCCGGGCATGTGCCCTTGACCGGAATCAAACCCGGACCTTAGTCCACAGGCTGATGCTCTATCCACTGAGCCAAACCAGCTAGGGCTGTTTTTATTTATTTTTAAAGAGAGAGGGAAGGACAGAAAAAGAGAGAGGGGAACCTAGATATGAGAGAAACATTGATCAGTTGCCTCCCAAATGGGCCCCCACTGGGGATCAAACCCACAACCTAGGTATGTGCCCTGACAGGGAATTGAACCCACAACCTCTTGGTGTACGGGAGGATGCTCCAACCAACTGAGGCATGGGGCTCGGGCTATGACTATATATATTTTTAAACATCTGGGCATTCCATGTAGGGAGAAAATGAATACTTGAGACATACAAGATAAAGAATGGCTTTAAAGAACTTGAGAGAGGTTTTTAGTGTTTCCTAGAGCCTTCATGTGGTGAAAATTCTGAACATGGGACAGATCTTGAAGACTGGCTTTTTGCGCTCATGTGATTGCCAAGATTACTTTAGGCTGTGGAATCCATTCCCTCCAGAGTGTTCCAACTGCAGAAAGAGAGGAGGGAAACACCTCTGGTTACTTCTTTTTAATGCGAAGCTCCAGCAGACAGCATCATTTATGTAGAAAATCCTTCCAATCATCCTTCGAGAAGGCCCCTGTTGCAACTGTCCTTCTCCCCAACCTGGTAGAAAATGCTGTTGATTTGTTGTCATTTTCCTCAAAATATTCAGGAAGGACTCATTTCCTCCAACCACTTGGTTGTACAAATACACCGAGGCCACAGAGAAGTGACTTGCACAAGAGCTTATGGCAAGTGCCTTTATCTAAATCCATCCGGAATAAGGAGTGTTCCCTGTCCCCGTCCTCCTCCCACCCTCCCTTTCTTGGGCTAACATTTGCAAACAGCACAGAAAACAATTGCAGATTGAGGACCGAGGGGGGAGGGGAGGAAGTGGTTATTAGCAAATCCCTGGGCCTGGAGATCACCTGCTTTCTTGGATCAAAACGGTGTAGCAAGCTATTCATGAGAACATCAAGGACAGGACGAGTGGGCCATGGTTTTCCGAACCAGCTGTGGAGAATCAGCTCAACAGTGGCCTCGGAACAGCAGCTGCACCAAGGGGCGGAGGCCATGGAGGTGGGAGAGGAGTGAGCGAGCAAGTCAGGCAGCCAGGCTGCAGGGACCCCGCGGCGCCACCTCTCGGCAAACCCGGAAGTGTTTCTGTAATAAGCGCAATGGCCTGAGCCACCTTTTTGAACCTAAAGTGTGAATGGCTCGCAGCAGGCCCCAGATGCTTCGGTAGTAACCGCAAACCCGGGGGGGATTGGTGCCGGGGGGACTGCGCTCTGGCCACTAAATGGACGCAGCCAGGGAGCACCAAGTCCTCGCAATCAAAGTGCACAGAACAGAGCAGGCTCTGCTCTCTTGGCGAACCGTGAACCGAGCAAAGTCCGGGGTAAACAAGCCTTGCAGCGGCTGCCTCCAGACCTGCACCCCCTGTGCGCTCCTCTCCCCCTCTTTTCCCACGCACCGGAACCCACCCCTGCAGCCCTGGCCACCCTCTCTCCCAGGCCCTACCTTCCCATCTGCGATCTCTGCATTTTGCCTGGGAGGCCCCCATGCCCACCGCTGGCGCACCGCACTCACCATCTCTTGCCTGAGGAGGTGCAGCTTGGTTTCCAGCCTCTCCAGGGTGCTGGAGTGGCTCCGTCTTCCCGGGGAGCCCGAGGTTGGGGAGGACGAAGAGGAGGACGACAAGGAGGGAGGGAGGCTGCAGCAGCTGCTGCTGCTACTACAGCCGCCCCCGCCGCCGCTGCTCCCCCCACAGGGGTCCCTGATCCTTTCCAGGGGAACCGGCTCCTCCCCGCGCAGCGAGCGCACTAGGCTCTCCGGCACTTTGCGCCCCAGCTTCAGCTCGATGTCTCTGAGGTCTGGCACTGTCGCGTCTTCCATGACTTCTCAAGAGCGGCGATAATGGCAGGAAAATGCTGCGGCTGCGAGGTGGCAGCGGCTGCTAAGTCGGCCCCGAGGTCAGAGGGCCCCTCCAGCCGCCAGGGTGTCTATCCGCGGCGGGTCCAGAGCACCGTCCGCTCCATAACCGCCTGCGCGTATCCACCCTGCAATCTGCACAGGGCGCTCCGGGTCCCCGCCGCAGTCCCCTGGTCGCCGTCACTCCTCCGACTCTTACCAAGATTAGAGAGACCGAATTCACCCTCTTCCCTCTTGGCCACTCCACGGCGAAGTTGAGTTAATTGATCTTGCAGAGCGGGGGAGAACGCAAGTGCTACAGACCGAGAGGAAATAGAGGGAAAGGAAGCCGGCTTTAGCTTTCTGGGGGGAAATCACATTATAAAACTGTCCATCACATCCCTGCGCCATTCACTGACTGCCCATCTGGTCCCGCGCGACACAAAATAATGATGTGGCCACACTCCAGCGTCGTTTCATTTTCCAGCCATAAAGCTCCAGGCTTTCAAGGGATCCTCAGAAATCATCTCTGGTCAGTGATTGAGGAGGGCGGGCGAGTGCATGGACGCCTGCAAGGAGGTAGTCCGCGGGAGTTTAAGGGCTTCCTGGATGCAGCAGAAATACCCTTCTTGCCATTTAGGCCGTTTGATCCAAGTCATTGTGTTCTTGCGAGCCTCAGAAACTTTAAACGGCGCTGGCAGGTGGACCGAGCCAGGGCCAACCCCTGTACCCCTGTACCGTATATCCTAGGCAAGAAGAGCAGCACGTTTCCGCACCCCTGCTGCCCGCAGCAGTTTCAGCGCCCTGTTTTAGTTGGGAGTTCCTAATAGGAGTATTAGATTTCAGTTTTCCCGGCGGAATTGCCTGGCACCTACAACCTTTACAACAGTTAGCGAATATTAGAGGCAGAATAATGACTTTAAGGGTGGTGTCCTACCCCACCGCACCTTCCCAAGGCAAAAATATAACTTTAAAAGCCTTTCCTGATAATTTTATACGAATAAAACGTAACCAAGTGAGACTGTACAACCAAAATTAATGGTCTTACCTAATGCAACAGTATGTCACTACAAGCAGAAGTGAAGAATTAAATAGCCAGAATAATGCATGTGATTACTGAAGATGCTAGTAGCTATGGGTTTTAAAAGGGGGAAGTTGCTGAGATGCTTTTAACTTTAATTATGGAGGGAAAATATTGAGCATAACTAGTCAAAAAGTTGTCTTTGATCATTTGTATTTTCAACTAGTTAAGAGCATGCCAGTCTGTTGATCGGAGATACTTCTACCAAGGAAGTTATTATGGATTATAGGTTTGATTCAACATGGAATTTATGCTAATATCTTCAAGTGGAGGATACCATTTTCAACACAGTAAAGTCTAATTCTAGGGTTCCATTGGAATATTTGGAAATATGGCCCTCCCATTTCCGGGATGAATAAGTATTGTGGTATCAGTCCTTCTGACCCTCCATTCCCAGAGGCATCACTCATGTTTTGTCAACACTTGCAACTTCATGGGCAGACATTTCTGAGAGTTTGTTTCTAGACTCATCTAGAAAGTCTAGGGATAGGAAACGAGGCTTCTGAGTGACATATTTCATGGCAGGAAGAAAGTTGCTGAAGTTCTCTTGTCAGCATGTCAAATATTTGTGTTATTTCTCACTCTTAAAAAAATAGAGAATAGTTGTAAATTAGGTGGCCCTTTTTAAAGTTGGAACAACCATTTATGGAATCAAAGGAGAACAAGACTAAATCTCAACTCACTGATAAAACTACATGCTTTGTACTAAATTTGGAAAACCACAGGCCCATTGCGTAAGAATTTCACTGTGACATGTAATTATGGAAGGCTTGCATCTCAGTCAAGAACAGGTTTTTAAAAAATTATAAAACCCTTACAAAGTTCATAATAGAGTTGGCTGAGAAGAGTAACTTACAAATACAATATCTACCTTGAACTTGGTCAATTTAAAAAGTTTATTGTCAAATTATCATCAATATAATCTACAAAAAAGAAACACTTCCTTTGCTGTGAGTCACAGACAATAAAATTAGTATTTGATACTGGTGAAAACTCAAAAATAGAAAAAAAAATTGCCTTTTAAAGGTCAGCAGAGAAAATTCCTCTGAAATTAAAAATATGACCTATATTGAAAGTAATACTTTGTGCCAATACAATATAAAACAAATGTTAAGACTTTTACATTTTCTCAGTTTAATGCTTTATGACATTTTGTTTAAAATAGAGACATTTTGCCCTAGGTGGTTTTGCTCAGGGGCTAGAGCATCAACCTGAGGACTCAAGGGTTCTGGGTTCGATTCCAGTCAAGGGCACATGCCCAGCTTGCAGGCTCGATCCCCAGTAGGGGGCGTGCTGGAGGCAGCTGATCAATAATTCTCTCTCATAATTGATGTTTCTCTCTCTCCCTCTCCCTTCCTCCCTGAAATCAATAAAAATATATTTTAAAAAAGAGACATATTGAATGCTGAAATGCTAATTTTCAAAACATTTTAGAATCAATCCAGCTGGTACGGCTTAGTGCAGTGGTCGGCAAACTGCGGCTCGCGAGCCACA